CAGTAGATAACCAACCCTCGTTATTCAATGTACAGTGAAATGTCTTAAAAACATAGTTCATACCCCTCAGTATAATAGGGGCAAAACTATCCCCCTTAGTTCAGGTTATACCTATTGTCCTTAGACACCATTTTATTTTACTTTTATACTTTTCCTACAGTTTTATATTATGCATTTCCATTTTCCCATTGTCTTCTTGATTATAATTACTTCTGGCTTTAGACTATGAAGAATGATTGACATAGTGCATTTGGTTTTTATTGCCATTCAGGGATAGATCTGTCCCTATTTACAAATTACACCAAGGGAGATTGATACTATGTTGAGTGACTGTTGATGTCTTGATAAAATTTAAATTCATAGTTCTACTGGTGTCTTTGACTTAATAAGGTACCTTGGTGTTACTTTGCAGTGGCAAAAAGAACCTCTGTTTTTGATGATCCGAGTTCAGAAATTCAAGAACTGACTGCTGTTATCAAACAAGATATTACTTCATTGAACTCTGCTGTTGTTGATCTTCAGCTTCATTCTAACTCTGGTAGTGAAAGTGGTAACAGGGACACCACTAGTCATTCAACTACAGTTGTAGATGACTTGAAGAACCGCTTGATGAGCACCACAAAGGAGTTTAAGGATGTTCTAACCATGCGGACAGAGGCAAGAACTGGGTCTTTCTATTGATTAGGCCTTTTCTGATTTGAAACCATTTATCTTGAGGAGCAATTGCACTAAACTTCAATTCTTTCTTTTATTGAATTGTAAACTAATGTTTCTTAAGTGCCATTGCCATTTGTTTAATAATCTTCATTCTTTCCCTGGATTTTTTATTATTACAGAATTTGAAAGTCCACGAAAATAGAAGACAGTTGTTTTCTTCCTCCACTTCCAAGGATTCCTCTAGTCCATTTGTCCGCCAGCGTCCATTAGGTTCAAGATCCGCTGCTAGTAGCTCAGCTGCCCCTCCACCTCCCTGGGCTAATGCATCAAAACCTTCTTCTCAGTTATTTCCAAGGTAAAAGTTTAGTGTTTGTTTTATTGATAGTAGGATCTTAGTAAACCCTTCTAGCTCTAAATAATTATCAATTTCCATTATTTCAAATCAATTTGTTCTATTGATTTTTTGCAGGAGAGGTTTAACCTGTGGAATCTTATTTTTACTGATCAAAATATCAAATACTATCTTTCTCAAAGTGGATGTGCCCTGACATAGCTTATTTCTTTTAGTAGTGTCATGTAGCACTGCAGCCTATAATGGTATCTAGCATTTGGTCTGGGTCTCTTATGTTCTATGCAGTATTTCTTAGGCAAATCCTCTAGCTTTCATCATTGTTTAGTTATTCTTTCTTCAAAATTACTCTTCTCTTGAAACCTATAGTATTTTTATTATTCATCATTCTACCGAAAGGGCTTAAACTTTTCACATTTTTCTCTTATTTTTATTTTAATCTTTTTGTTCCTTTTCCATCTTCTTGTAACTTTTTCAAAAAATTCTAAGAAATGGATTAAGATGATTCAATAGATATCTATGTGATCCCTTATTCATATAAAATTAGTATTTTCAATGAGAAGTTCCAAATATAGCAATTCATTTTTCAAAATGAATCAACATTTTGTTATCTCTAATAGGAAGCAAGCAGATAGCGACACTCAACCATTACTACAGCAGCAACAAGAACAACAACAACAACAACAAATGGTTCCCTTGCAAGACAGCTACATGCAGAGTAGAGCTGAAGCTCTACAAAATGTGGAGGCTACAATACATGAACTTGGCAGTATTTTTAATCAGCTGGCCACCTTGGTTTCTCAGCAAGGAGAGATAGCAATCAGGTGCACATTCATATATTTTGCATATAATATTTATGGCAGATGTCATGTATCCAAGGATATGCAAACATCATCAAATTAACATTGTGGAGAGTCTATACTGTTTCCTATTCCTTGATACAAATCAGCAGTGCTTAACGTTCTCTGAAAGTAGCCTTTGTAGACCAATAGTTTTTATTTAGTTTATCCACAAACCCAATCAATAGTTTTTGTGTTTAGTGTTGGAAGAAATTTGGTGGGGGTGGTGGTGGGGTGGGGAGATGAGAGGACCCCTACATGTTTAGAAATTCGTAGCCAGTTGAAGTGTTGAACAATCAGTGCATCATACAACTAGGCTTACTGAGTCGGTTCACCTCTTGCTGTCATGCTGATGTCAATGTGCTAAACATGCATTTTAATTCAAATGAACTTGTAATTAAGGCTCCATTTGGAAACTAGGAAAATGACTTCTGGAACACGAGTCATTTTCCAAAAAACATTTTCCTTTCCGGTGTTTGGCTACACAATGGAAAATTGTCTTTGTGTGTTTGGTTCATTTTCCGGAAAATGAGCAGGAAAATGAACAGAATTGTATACTTCAACATTTTAATTGTTTGATGCTTTTGATAAAATCCTTATGTGAATAGCACTCATTAAGCCTTTGTGGATAATTTTGAATGTGTGTGTGTGTGTATATATATATATATATGTATGTATGTATATGTATGTATGTATAGCATCTAAATATATATAAATACATACAGTAAATATATATATATATATATATATATATATATATATATATATATATATATATATATATATATATATGTACACACACACACACACTATATACTATATAGTTATATGTACCATACACACACAGTCACACAGCATGAGGATTGGAAAATGACTTCCCCCCAAAAAAGGGGAAGTCATTTTCTCTCAAAACATACCTATTTTCCTTTGACTAATGCATTATTTTCCATTGACCTCATTTTCCTCCCTCTTGCCAAACACTGAAAACCCGCAAAAATCATTTTCCGGGTTTCCAAACGTACCCTAAATCCAAATAGACATCAAATTCAATACAAAAGAATAACTGTCGTGTTTCTTTTAATTTCCCTTCATCTTCTTTTGTACAAATGAACATGTGGTGCAATCAAATTGAATATGAAGTTCATTTATAATGAACGCCTTTGCTGATGTTATCCACCATATCATATGGGTGTGCAATGGAATTTAAGCCCCTGAGTGCATGATAAATTTTACCAAGTTAAAGGGCACTGTGTAATCAAGTGATTACAGTTTAGCCTAGGTAAATGGCCTAACTTTCACATCAAGGCTCTTTGATTTTTGATTGAGCCTTTAAACTGTCTTAGCTTGTGAACTTGGTAGCTGAGTTGGTGTAGAGATACAAGTTATACATGAGTACACTAAACTAACATAATTGTAAATGTGAACTGTGAATAAATTAGAAACAGAATTACATACCTAGGTAAAGTAGAGAAGTACAAAAGATAATCCCTCTTTAGTTTTCACCTCTAGCTTGGTGGATAGTTGATGGTTAAAGACTCCTTAAGGATGTTCTCAGCACTATGGTTAATGACATGCTGCCACTATATTAACCTTGAGGAAGCACAAGAAAGAATTCACTTTGCTTCTGTTGTCACCGCTAAGAATTTACTGGAGTATAAACAGTTGGATTAGTTGAAGTGATTTTTGAATAATACTGCAGTTTTAAGTCTCATTTTTGGTGTTGAAAAAATTCTCTGTTTTGAGTAAAATTGAAGCAGTTTGATGTTGGTTGTAGGATTGATGAGAATATGGAGGATACACTTGCAAATGTGGAAGGGGCACAAGGGGCATTGCTCAAGTATCTTAACAGCATCTCATCTAATAGGTGGTTGATGATTAAGATATTCTTTGTATTGATTTTCTTCCTCATGATCTTTCTATTTTTTGTGGCATAGTAAGAGTAAATTATATGCCTACTCTCTAGAATGGCACAGCAGAATGGTAGTAACTTTTTTTGGGGTACTTTGACCCCGGGTATACACTACTATCCTTTGAACCTCATTTTGGGGTGAGTTACAATGATCATGCGTTGTAATTTTCTCCTATATTGATAATCTTAAGAAATAAGAACTAGTATCCATGCATTATACATCGTGGAACAATCATTGTATTATAAAGAGGAAATTTCAATTTTGGTCATATGACTATAGGGGTCTTGTTAATTTTAGTCCTTGACTTTCAAAATTGTCAATTTAGTACCTTAACTATGCAATTTTTGTCAATTTTGATCACTCCGGCCAAATTGCCGATCAAATTTCGTCGGAAAATTTTAATAATTAAAATAATGAGGATATTTTGGTCATTTCACGCTTCTTTTCTTCTTCTCCGCCGAGTTCATCCCTTTCTCTCTCGTTTTCGGCCTTCTTTCTCCCTGTAAAGCCTATCTTTAATATCATCAAGTTTCCTTTCCGCATCATCTTAGTTCATTGTATTCGCCGAAAACGGGAGAGGAAGGGATGAAGTCGTTTGGGAAGAAGAAAAAAGACGTGAAATGATCAAAATATCTTCATTATTTTAATAATTAAAATTTTTCGACGAAATTTGACCGGCAATTTGACCGGAGTGACCAAAATTGACAAAAATTACATAGTTAAAGTACTAAATTGAGACTTTTAAAACTCTGGGACTAAAATTAACAAGACCCCTATAGTCATATGACCAAAATTAAAATTTCTTCTATTATAAATCATAGTCTACATTGTAAAGTGAATTGTTGATATAAATATTCATTGTTAGTACATTGAATACTCATTTTTAGTATATTGAATATTCATTTTTAATGTAAAAAATGTTCATTTTTATATATATTACTTTAAAAAAAAATTAATATATTAAAATTGAACTTTCAGCTTAAAAATAATACGGAGTAAATATTTATCCGTAATGCACAATACAATTTATCATTGTGAAACACAACCGTGATATGTGCATATATATATATATATATATATATATAAGAGTTGGTCATATATGAACTGTCCAAGATTGAGGTGCTGGACTATCTAAGTGGGCTAATGCAACTATTATTCACTTGGGCCTAAGTTGTTAGAAGAGGATATGAAAGCAGGAGAATTAGGGCATTTTAGGATTTTTTTTTTCCTGCCCCCGACGCAGATCTCACTCCCTTTACCCTTCGAACCCTAGTTCTCCATTTGATCTTATCTTCTTTTCCCTTTCTAGTTATCTTACGATATTGTTAAATCGTGGAGTTAGGTCCTCTGCCTGGCTCGTCAACAAAGAGTGATGTGTAAAGAGACGAGGCTTACGAGGGGAATAGCAGCTGCCCCTGGCGTCTGGGAACAATGGAAAGTGTCCGGCGGCGAAGGGGGTTGGGGAGCGATCCACAGTTTAGTTTTGACGGATGGCCTGAAGTGAACATTATGGGAGCTGGAAAATGCGATGTGATGTGATTACGGAGATGTAGGGATTGTGAAGTATTCCGAAGAGCTAGACATGGCTTCCAACCGGAAATTGCCCGGAGGGAGTGGGGTGGGGGTAGGTCAGCCGCTATGAGGTCCGGGAACTATGCAAACAGTATGTCAATGCTTGGTGTTCCGTACTGTGGCTATAGGCTTCTCTTTCCAGTACCATTGTTGTAAAAATCGGTTGCCGAGTTCAGTCCTAGGCGGCTTCTGACCGACTAACCGGCCAATCCACCAAGTTGGGCGTCTAACTTGTCTGAATCTACTCAGCTGAGTTTTCCTTTTTCTTTTTGCTCGGCTACTTCTATATTTTCCCAACCATGTAACATATACATTTGATTAGTTTAGGAATGATTTATACTCGAACCTATGTTGTAACATATATCATTTTCCAACTTTTTATTTTTCAATTTTATTTTTTATTAATTAAAACAAAAATTTGTGAAATTACTACTTTCTTTTGTTCGCTACGGATTATAATCCACCGTACCCCCGTCCGTGGCTTCAATGAAGAAGACCAAGTACGTTCTCTTTTTGAAATTGATTTTATTTTTATTATTGATTGATTGATGTACACATGAGATTCAGTCTTTGGGTTGATGTCATTAAATGTACGGCTGTGGGCCCATTCCAGCATTTCCCCCTCGTGCATGACGACATCCCCGTTTGTCTCTTCATAAACATTGATTCTGGAAGTATCTTCACCAACCTTAAAAGTGTTATACAATGAAAATGTTGGAATCCCTATCCCATCATCTCCTCCTACCTTTCTTGATTCTGGTATTCATCGCTTCTCCTTCTCCTTCGTCCGGCGATTTGGGGACGACAAGCCACTACGGGCCACCCTATTACCGTAAGTTCATCTCATTCCTTTTTTCCGATTTTCTAAATATTAGATGAAGTCATTTTGTTAATCCGATTGTGTCGTTGGTGTGTATACACAGCCACCGCATGTTTCGGCAACGATCTATCCCAATTCCCCCTGAACAAGTATTTTGCGGCGGCCGGCGAGGAAATTTGGGATAACGGCGCGGCGTGCGGTCGTATGTACTGGGTGAAGTGTATAAGCTCTTATTTCCCGAAGACTACATGTACAGAAGGCGAGATGATTGAAGTTCAAATTGTTGATCGGGCGCAAACCTCTGTTTCGCCTCCTACCTGGCCAGGGACCAAAATGGCGCTTTCCGGCCCTGCTTTTACTGCGATTGCTGGTCTCCCCGTCGCATGGGTACAAATTGAATATAAACAGTAAGTGAAGTACTGCTTTTGCTTCATTATTATATATATATATATATTGTTGGATGTATTGTATGGTAATCCTATTACCCAAGGGAAATTATGTGTTAATTACCACAGGCCAATTGCCCAATTCTTGATATTTGGATGTATAGTAACGTATATTTGTACTTGTCATTTGTCCCTTGTCAGGAAATGATCAAATTAACGAGGGAGATTGATTCGGGTAAGTAAATTTTTTAGTGCTAAGTGTTTGTGTACTTAGCTTCGACATTTGTGCTGTAATAGTTTTTGATATGATGATTATTTTCATGACTTGTACTCTGTTATAAAGTGTGGTTTTTTATTTGAAATATTAAAATAATGACGAATGTTTGAATGATATTATTTTGTGATGACTTACTTTTAAAGGATATATGGTGAGTATTAAGTTAATGAGTATATGTACTGTCGACTTGATACATTCTCATTGGTTGACAGATTGATCGAATGATATTATTTTGTGATGGCTTACTTTTAAATGATATATGGTGAGTATATGTGTTGTTGATTTGATACATTCTCATTGGTTGACAGATTGATCGAAAAATCATGGCATTGGTAATTTGGTATAAACAGAGGCACACTAAAACTATGAGTTATGTTTTGGTTGGTATCTTTGAAGCATGATTTGGTTGTTGGGTCTAATGTATCTGTGGGTGTAGTCCTATGAATTATGCCATCTAAATATTATTGTGGTTTTTCAATGCTTGGTTTAGAAGAAAGTGTGTTAGTTTGCTTATTTGGTTGTTCAATTCACACTTAAAATGTTTTAATTTACAGATGAATACTACTTGTGAGTTGTGACACCTTTTCAAGTTGCTTTTGAGTATCGAAGATCCTCCAATTTTGGATGGCTTGATTTGGTTTTTGAATGTAATGAAGGGGAACATTATTGTAACTAAACCCTAGATTAAATTAAAGTTCTTTTATTATTCTTGTGATTTATTCAGGTGGTGTATAAACATTTAAGATGATGCATATGGTGGACTTTTTCCCCTTATTAAGGTTACCATCATTAGAGGTGGATAACTAATTATTTGGTCTATATGCATGAAAATGATAAGTCTGTTCAATTGTAATTTTTTAAAGTTTAAGAAGTTAATTGTTTTTCCGTATAAAGTTGAAAGACTTATTTGATTCTTTTGTTTTTTAATCTGTCTCGCAAGCTGGATTGTGACTTATGAGGATGTGTAGGTTAGGACTAGAAAAAAATTGATTCCTAGGTTAATTTGTGAAAGTTCATAATTTTTTTTTTCCTCGAAAAAGGAAAAGGTTAACTTGTGAAAGCTCATAAATTTTTTAGCCCACCTTGGACTAGTGCAGCCCAGATTAACACTTTGCCTTGAGAAATACAAATTAAATTATGTCATGGACTTGGTTTCATATTGTAAGACAAAGTTATATCGTTTGGATTTTTTCAGTGAACAAATTATACTATGGACTATAGTTCACATTGCAATGTGAAGTATTGACAAATGTTAATTTTTAGTATATTGGAAGTTTATTTTTAATTAAATGAAAATGAACTTTTTAAGAGATAATGTTTTGTGAATCTTTCAGTGTTATGATATTCTTGAGTTGGCTTAGTTGGGACAAATTATTGTATGGATCGTGTCCATATTAATGTGTGGATCACGATTTAATATTTTATATGTTAGAATAATGTGAATCATCTGTTAGAATATTAAGCTTTTAGGGATAAAATAATGTATTTTGTATTAGAATAATGTACATTATGTTTTAGAATAATGTATATTATATGAATTATAAAAATGTATATTGTAGTGAGTCACGTAAAAAAAATTATGCAAAATGATATCGTTTTTAGACCATAATTTATGCAACTGTGTAAACTATGATCCACGCAATAACTATTGCTTTCTTGGGGTGCCTCCCATTAATAGAAAAAAAAAAAAAAAAAAAACTTTGGTAAACTCATGGTCTATTTCCCGTGACACTTGTATATAAATTTACTTGGCCCCAATTTTCATCCATTTCATTTGGGCTTCTACCTTATAGCCCATAAGGTCCAAAGTATTCTCTTAGGGACAACTTCCGGGCCTTTTACTGTTATGAATACTAGAAAATGATATAAAAGCGGAGCAGGGGATTTAGGGCATTCTACAATCTAAAGTCTTCGAACCCTAGTTCTGCAGCTTCCAGTTTATGTTATCTCCTTTTCGCTTTCAATTTGTCTTACCATATTGTTGAATCGTCGAGTCAGATTTATGTGAGGCACATGAATCTTTCTGTTTGAGCACCTCAAGCTTGGGCAATTTGTCAAACATCTTCCGTTCATGGAAGATAAGGCTCGAGTTGCCGAGCTTGTGGTGCCCAAACTGAAAGATTTTGCCTTCTGCAGCTCGGAGTCGGAAGGGAAACCAACGCCGTCCCCCACAGATCTGAAATGGTGAACAGATTTTGCGTTTTTGCTGCTCAGGCTGGAAGATCCAAGCAAGTTGATTCAATACAGCTCCATTTTTTGTTTTGTTTTATTTTTCTTTATTAAAACGAAAAAGTATTAGTATTTTATAATCAAATATTGTGGTAAAAGCCATAAAGCCATATCTGATTCTAGTTTATGGAATCAATCATTTGAGCAATTGCAAAAATAGTATGAGGGCTAACTTGAAGACATTGCAGATGTTCTTATGTAAAATTTTAGTGAGTAGGCATATGCGAATGCATGTTTCATTAGCACTTGTTATGGACACTATGTTTCCATTGGAGAAGAAATACAATGTTAGTCACACAGCTAGATTGTTCAAATAAATTGAGAAGCAAAAAAACACAGCACTTAGATGCACCACTGAGCTTAGCTTCCAGAATCCTTCTTTGGGGGGTTCCAAAAATAGGATGATAGGTTCAAAAGATCTGGAGAAGCAGGTAGGTCATAGGTGTATCAACTGCAACATTTAGCTGGTCCTTGACTTCAATTGAGATATATTGTTGGTTAGGGTGGCAACTACAACAGTTCCCGTATAGATCCACCTTGCTTCAAAGTTTTCAAAAAAAAAAAAAAAACAAGATTGCTTCGACTTCAAACATGACATTACATGTCAGAGAAATGAAACAAGCCAAATTTATGATCTATAGGGTTCGGTGGGATCCGTTAGCAGCTAACCCCTTCAAGGGAGCCTCCCCGAGCAGGTTACTGAGGTAAATGAGGGAGTGACCACGAGCAAGTTTTGTCTGGCCGCTGCCACCTCCTCTGCCGGATGCCTCCCACCAATAAACCTCCTTCGTGTCTCTCTTAGGGTTTGGAAAATGAGCCTCCCACCAAAACCTCCTTTGCGTCTAGAAAATTTAGTCAACGAAAAATGTTAGGGAAAATGTAAGCAAAAAATGTTAGGGAAAATGTAAGCATAAAATATTAGGGAAAATGTAAGCATTTTGGCTTCCGCCAACACTTAAAACATGGTTGCCTTCATTACTCTCTCGTTGTCTTTGATTCCTCAGTTTCCATCTATTCTTATATATTTCAAAATGCAACCGCAACCAAACACTGGAAAAGAAAATGTTTTCCAAAAAATGAATCATTTCTAAAAAACATTTTCTAGCTTTTCAAATGGAACCTTAGTGGAAAAGAGATTGATCTTAATTTCATGACTCTAGTCTAGTGGATTAAAAGACAGCACATTAATATCAAGAGGTCTTTACAAATGCCTTTTGCCCTTTTCTTCAAGGAACCACATTGAAACCAGAAACTTGAAGTGGGATAAACCAAGCCTAGGATGTACTTATTCTTCCCCTAAAAGGTTGAATCCCCAATCCCAAAGGACTCCCATCCCGACTAGATAGAGTATTTAAGAGAATGTAAATCACGGTGATTCAATGGCTTAGCACACAGGGTCAAATGTCGGTGCGCACGGCTCCTTAGTCCCTTTTTCTAAATACTGCCAACTAAACCATTAAACTAAACTATACGGCCTACTAAACCATTAAACTAAACTATACGGCCTACTAAACCATTAAACTAAGCCCGTGCGGGCAGGATGGGCTTATTCTAAAGCAGGGTGTGGCAGCCTATTATGAAACAACAAGGGAGATTGGATTAAAGGCTTCTGTTTTAATTCGGATTCTGCTTTGTTGTGGAAGTAGAAACTTAGGCTCTTATTCAAGGAATGAGATTGGCTCATAAGATGGGTTCTGATAGTTTGACATTGGGGGGCACACACAATAATAGATACATTTCTGTAATTACAATTTATCATTTGAATGTTAATGTACATCACATCTATAGTGCTGCAGTCAAAACAATATAACTCACACTAGAAAGCAAAACATAGCATCTTATTTGATGAAGATAATCAAAGAAGAACAATGCATAAAACTAGAATGTCTTAGCTCAATACATCAACTCATCAATCACACAGTTGGACTGTATCCACCATTCGTATATATTAATTAACTGCATGGGCATGATGGACCCTAATCATGATCTAACATATGTTAATTGCATGTACATAATCTGGGCAGCGTCCGCCATGGGCATGATGGACCCTAATCATGATCTAACATATGTTAATTGCATGTACATAATCTGGGCAGCGTCCGCCATGGGCATGGTGGACCCTAGTCACAATCTAACGATTGTGAATCACAATAATATGGAAGAGAGACAAACATACAACTTTATTGAACGACAATATGGAAAAGATAGACAAACAAACAACTTTATCAGTTGCAACATTAGCCTCTACGAAACACACTATTTTCAAAGCTTTGTTGGTTGCCAGAGATCACCTTCATCTGTGAAGAAAAAGTATACATACATCAAACATTAACATTACTTTTTGCAACTGTTTAGGATTTTAATATAAGTATAGTTCATGTTTCATATGCATACATACCTTGCCTTAGATCAGTCATGTTTTAGTTACCATCATCATCAGATCCCTCGCTGTCTTCTTCCTCGGTTTCACTTTCTTCTTCTGGCGTTTTGTCCTAGGAGAGCAATTCCAAGTGAGAACACAAACATAGGAAGTAATAAGAAGCAGAACCATATATAGTTCGAATGTTAGGATTGAGTATTTGAGAGAGAGACTACCTTAATTCCAAGTTTGCGAACAATTAAATCATTCCCCCCAAAGTCCTTTAGCTGATCTTTAATTTCCTCTGCAGACTTCACAAGGGAAGAATAACAACTTTCTAACTCGATTGATTCCAGCGTGTAAATTTCAGCAAATTCGTTTGGAATGCTTACTAAGTCCCAACAGTTTTTTAGGACTAGGCGCTTCAAAGCTGGGAAGTGTTCAGGACTTGCATTCCAATGTTTGAGATCTGAACGTGCAATGAGGAAGAGCTTTAAATTTTTAAACCCCTCCTCGGATGGATTCCACTTTGAGCCGCAGAAGGCAAAATCTTTCAATTTGAGTACTTCAAGGTGGGGCAGCTTGCCGATTATGTCCATCTGCTTCCATGGAAGATAGGTGTAACGAAGTGACAGCGTCTTAAGGTTTGGTGATAAAGCAGCTGGAAGAGAAAAGCGCTCGGCCCTTCCCACTTCAAATTTTAACTTCTCAAGCCGATCTAAATGAACAAGACTATCAAGAGCACCATGTGGCAATTTATCGTCAATGTAAATCCCTAATTCTTTCAACTTAGGTACTCTTGTGAAGTTAGTTTTTTGGTCCACATTGGCAACTTTCACCCAATAAAGAGACTGTAAACTTTCTTGAACCGAATTTGGAAGATAGAGTGCCGCCCTCCTGGAAAGATGAGCATGCCTTAGCAGTGGCAAATCCAAAATATTAATCGGTAATTGCAAGCGATCCTCCTCCCTCCATGAATGAACCACGAGAGTTTGCAAATTCTTAAGCTTCAATAATTGAAAATTGTAAAGAGAACCTATAGTAGTTAAACCCAAGTATCTCAAATGAACCAAATCCTCTAGCCCGCTAGGCACACCATGCCAGTATTTTATTAAAGA